CAACAATATGAAGAATAAACTTGAATAAATCAAGTGAAAACAAGAGAGAATCTATAGCGCTTCTTGCGTGAATACAACCAGTGACGTCACAAGGTCCTTCAACTCAGTTCCAGAGCCCAGACACAGTTTTGCTCCAAAAAGTCAATTTCAGCAGCTAAAAAAAGCACTTTCCCTCAGGATTTGACAGAAATAAAGTTCACCATTATTTTAAGCACGTTTGAAACTAAAAATTGGGCTAATAAAAGAGAGTACGAACATTTCATTTCAGTGGCACTTCAAGTGCCAAAGAAGTAATTTCTCTGTTTTAGGAATGAAAACAGGACCCTCGAAGTTTGTAGATTTGGCCCGCAACACGCCATGATTACCTGCACTTTTCGAGCACATGATTTTAAGTCAAAAAACCGTCTTTCTAGGACCCCTAAAGTCGTCTAAAAATATGCTCAGTAAGTCGACTTTGATTTGTTTATTTGTCCTTAACAACAATAGAACAATAGGAGAACTAAAACGTCTTCAGGGAGGGTAGGGAAGGCAATTGTCCTCACATGCTTTTTCACGGCTGGTTACAGCCAGCACAGGGAATTGGGGGTGGGTTTTCACACGGCTGGTTACAGCCAGCACAGGAGTCAATGGGTTAACAATTAGATTATGAGCTCAAGATTTCTACGAGGTGATAACTAATTGGGCCAAAGGCCAAATACACTACCTTAAATTTTCTTCACCAAACCATATCAAATTGCTTTTGTACATTGTATTTAACTTTATTCTTTATACAAATTGCGTGGATTAAATTGTTGTAAGGAATTTCCTGTTGTGTACACACAAACCCTAAATCTCCTTTTACTTTTCTCGAGAATTTAATTATCCATTTGAATCTAAATGTTCTTTTGTGACTTCTCAAAAACAACAAAAGATCACTATTTCACAGACAACCTCCTCCTTTGGCTAGTGAAATTCCCTTAGTTACTAGCCATGTTAACTACCAAAATTATGGAAGCAAATTTCTTTCTCCAGTGCAAAAGATAAATTCATGCCATCTGACAGGGTGTGGAACAAAATACCAAATTAAGCAGAAATTTTCAGGGTAAAATGCAGAAAAATGTGTTGGTTGTGCGGAAAACACACTGGATTATGCGGAAATTTCGACATTTAACAGAATTGATCATAAAACTTTTCAAATGTACCAAACAACAATGAAACGTAAAGCACTTCAAAGTCTTCCCAACAATTTTAAGTTCTTCAATAGAATGCACATCATTTTTGCCAACTTTGATATATCTTTGATCTTTTTATGGTACTTGTTGATGTATTTCTTAATTTACAGATTTTCCAAGTATTTTAGCTCATTTCGCCAGTAGAATTTGTTGTTACATTCATGGAACATCCATAGTTCAGTAACCACGCATTTTCCTCAGAACTAGTTTTCAGGCTCTTTGCCTAAAGTAGGTTGGAACATCTGGCTAGTGAAAACTACCATTTTATTAGCCATAACCCCACTGGTAACAAAAGTTAAGGTCAAGCCCTGGAAGACATCACTCCAAGTACAGGAAATTTGAAAGGATGGAGAATTTTTAAAATGACTCCTGTCATCCTTAGACCAATTTTTTTTCAAGAACTCATATTCAAAGCATTTAAGAATCGTAAACGCAGTGGTTATGTTGATCACCAGCAGGTCAGATCGATTGACCAAAACTTGTTTTTCTTCAAACTAAAGCTACTCATTTTAGGACAATGATGACAACTGTGAATGAAGTCAACAATGATAAACAAAGGTACCGGATGAATTTATTTTTCATAGCGTTTCGCTAGTTTGTTTCTACTGCCAAACTTGATGGGTAAATTGATACATAATCAATCTGCACGTAAGCTTATTATTGCTGTGGCTGCATACGTGTATGCAAACAAACAATTGCATCTGTATTTTTGTGTTTTAGTCCATTTTTTTGTAGTCCTCGATATTCACCTCTGAAAATTATACAAAAACAATTATGTGGCTCAGGCTCAGTGAACATTGGTAAATATTTCCAAGATGAAGTTGAGGTGAATATTCACCAATGTTCACTTTGCCTTTGGTGAATAATTGTTCATTATTACGCAGCATTTTAGTTTTTAACCTTATAATCAACATTAATTAAACTGAAGTTTGATAACTTTGCACTTTCCATTCAGAAGAGTCTCTTTTGCACTGATAAGCAGAAAAATACGTTAGGGTCACCAGTGACAATGTTCGTAATCTCAAACATCAGAGCTTTTTTGTGACACAAATCCTGATATTATTTACAAAAGAACCTTGTTAACAAATTTGGGCGGGAAGAGGATTCAGGCGTAAAGAAAAGGCGAGATTGCAGGATTCACACAAAAAAAATAGAGAGAAAGTAATTCTGAAAACTGTAGTGGATGTTCTACATCATCCGAGACAGATACCCTTGCAGGGCTAATCCCAGAAAAGTTGGGTAGGGATGTGCGGCCCAGTTCCCAAAACCCTCATCCTATTTAGCCCTTGTAAAATAGGTACCAGGATCCTACCGGGATCCAACCAAGATTCCCAGCACTCACCGGGATCCCACCAGGATAATTCGTCTGTTTCATAATAAAAATTACGCCATGAAATTAAAGCAAAAACTATATTTAAACATGGAATGAGCTCTTAATAACCAGTAATATCACGCCACTGTCAAACTTGACTTGAGCGTCACTTCTCATGGAATGAAAACTTACAGCGAAGGCTAAACTGCAAAATCTGCAAATATAGGTGACAAATCAACTTTTCTGCATGGTTCTCAGTGATATAAAGCAAGATAGGCAAATATTTTTTGTTACTATGAATGAAACTGGTTGACGTTTCATGTAAAACCCCTGAAATATCACAGGAAAGTTTGGGGGGACACAACATGCTTTCTACATCAAGCATGATCTGCATTTGAGCCTGCTTTTGGCATTCTGAGCCTGGAAACATATGTTGCTCACCAGAATAATAACTTCTTTTGCCAGAAAATAGAAAAAACTGGCAGTTTTGTTCAATTCAAGGTTTCTTTACAGAGTTGGCACTACTACTTATTATTGGCCTAGACAACGGAAAACAAAAAAGGTCCACTTTTCAAACATTTTGTCTACTTCTGTTTTAGTTCACTTAATCAATGGACCATTCAAAATTCCAGAGCAATTACCTGTAAAAAACACTCTTGAAAGTAATAGAAAACATAAAAGGGTTTAAGAACTGTTAGAAATGTCTGTGTTCATCAGAATGGCAGAACCTCTTCTCTTGTTGAAATTTCAGAATAGTTCACAACCCACTTGAAAGCTGCTGTCTTTGGCAAAATGTTTGTTAGATGAAACTAGAGCAAATCTAGAAGGACTTATGGTCTTGTGGTGTAATGGTTTAGCTTTTAAGAACCATTTCAAAATGTTTTTACTTAACTTCAAGAAGTGTAATGTCTGCAACGTAACGTCCAGAACAATGTTTGCTGCCATTATTTCGAAAATGTTGTTGTTTACCGGATGTTTTTTTTACCAAAGTGTTTCTATTGGATATCTAGCTGTGTGACAAGAATGGTTTTAAAATCTTTCATGTAGTTATTTTAGAAAAGAAAAAAAGATTGTTAAAACGTTGTAGACATTACATAACGTCCACGACGAAACTGATTTTTGATATATCTACCTTTTAAAAATGTTCAGGATGAAGTTTATATCACTTAGGCCATCCCCCTTTTTTTTCTCTGTTTAGCATCGTCCGTCCCACCCAGGTTTTCGCGTTTTCAAAGAAAAAAAAAAGTTACACAGAAGGAAATAAAGGCAATGACACATTATTTCAAACAATTGTCACTTTAATCTGAAACATAAGCAATTTTTTGCCTTACAGATTTTGTTTTTCCCTGTTCTCGTTTGATTTTAAAAACGACGTCAACTTTTTCCTTCCTCCATTGCTGCGATGTTGACTTTGTAACCACACCTTGTTGTTTCCAGGCTCTACGGATATTATGCCAAGGTACCGGGCCTCCTAGCCCCAGACTCCTTTTCCAATTTTGTTTTTTTTGTTTTTTTTGTTTTTTTTTCCTTTTCCGACCGACCAACCCAAAATCAGAAAACGCATTCGACAATAAACGAAAGAAAAGGGGGATGGCCTTATGTATTAACTCCAGTGAGGGACTTTTTCTGATACAAGTATTTGAAGTCCCTTATATTTTCCAAGTTTGATACAGCAAGTTAAAAAAATTTACTTCTTGCTTGTTGTTTGCTGTAAAAAAAAAAATACTTACTCTGTGTACCTTAACTCGTCCACAATGTAGAACAAGGTATAATTTCATGTGCAACCTCTTTCCAAAAATCTGAATTTTCCCACAACTCATGCGGAATTGTCCTACGGTGAAGATTTCCACAATACAGTTTGTAGGACAATAATTTTACTTCAAAAATGTAAGGCCTAAAAAGACAGAAACAACCAGCAGCTAGTCTTCAAGTTTCATCGGCAAAACACTATCGCGCTATACCAAGTTATTTCGGAAACGGCCATGTTTTTCTTCAACGCGCATTTCAACATAGCCAGCCTAGCACCAAAAACAATATTAGGAGCAAAATTTAACATTTTCACAACAATAAAAGCGAATTATTACCCAATATAACATTGCACGAGGGTCAAATACAAACAAATACTGACCTTGACAAAAGAATAATCTCCAAAAGCGAGCTCCACGTGAATTCCTGTTTTCAACATCTCAAATTATTTCGTAGCCAGACAAACATCTCCTAGGCAGAGAAACAACTCGTTATTCTAAGTTTCGTCAATAAAAAAGGCAGAAAATATACTTTTACATAGTCTGGTGAGATAAAACGAGAGGAAATTGCTCTCCTCGTCACGAAACGAACTTCAGAATGTACTCCCCCAGAAACAGGATGAACAGTTGACGAGACAGCTGTGCCGTCGCTATGTCGAAATTCCGCTCCCGTTCCAATACCCTGCCAATAAATGCCTGTTCGCAGAACGCAAACACTTGAATGAACATACCTTAAACAGTATCCTCGGCTTTCACACTTCTAAAACAGATACAAAACATTCAACCAACATCATCTTCGATCTGCTTCATGACAGCTCGACAACTCGTGTACGTATGGCAGCATTGGGAGGGGCAGATCAAATTACTCAGTGGTGCCCGGTTTACATCGGGGAGGGGGTTGGGGAGGGGGGGTCCACAAGTACCAGGGTCTCGTTTCTCGAAAGCCCCGTGAACCTTTCGGGCCCGAAAAGCCATTTTTAGCTAATCTCTATCTAAGAGCAGAAACTTCTTGTATGAAATGAACCTCTGTTCGTATTAGAATATGTGAACACAATAGCTCAGCAATCATTAGGTTTGAGATTTTGAGGAACCAGAAACTACGAGGGACCGCATACGATAAACGCTCCCAACGTAGGATCTACAAGAGATCTGATCAGCCAAAAAATTGTATGAAGACAAACAATAGACTGCAAGACTGATACTACGTGAGAAACGTTTCGAGACACCAACATGACAAGAACCGTTAAAGTAGGATCGCAACAGTGGACAGCTGTTTCGCCCTTCTTGAGGCTCGTCAGCACTGTGTAGTGAAGATATGTAACGCCAGCCCAACAGCCAACGCACATAAATTGCAAAATGACCCGTTCACCATATCAAGTTCCGTACTTTGAACTCACTTGCACCCCGANCCATGCTTTGCTATGGGCGAGAAACGGGATTGACCTATTAAACAAATTCTGGAAAATCAAGCACACTTACTTTTCTGGGATACGATATCAATTATTTTTACGATAACTGCAGAAATTCTCCCGCGCTCATCGGCTAATTTTTATCGTCAATAAGCGGACAGACACATGAATTTATAATTTAGGCGATGCGTCAGCGAGCGAGAGCGGACAAGTTGACAATTTGTTGTCGTAAAAACCAAACTGACGTCAGTTTTTCATGCGTATGTCCTGTTATTGACCATGAATTACGTCATAACATTGTCAAAATAGCTGTGGATCTACGAGGCGATAACCGAGTGGATCCGCAGACTATCGCCTCGTGGATCCACAGCTACTTTGACAATGTTATGACGTAATTCATGATCAATAACAGGACAGACACATGACAAACTGACGTCAATTTGTTAAATTTTGTTGACTTTCGAAAGGAATGACGTTTTTAACCGCGCGGCCTAACTAGGCTGAGCGCGGTTTATTCGCACAGGTAAGAACAAAAGGGTTCTTTGTTTTAGCGCTTATTGCCGGTTTTCATGTTACAGAGTAAAGAGGGAAGTAAAGAAAATTTTAGATCTGGTTTTTGAACTTCTTGAGTTGTAGTCTTTTGTCGAACTGGTTGTAAACAGGCGGTGAAATGTGTATGAAGATGAATCAGCAGAATTAGCTGTTGTGGTATTTAAGTTGGGTTTTACGTTAATTTTTTGGGGGCGGCTTTTGTGGTTACTGGTCAGGTATATCATCAGATGTGAAGGTAAGATAGTCCGTCACGTTTTCGGGAACCTTTCGGAACAATCTTGGTGAAACCAAAATACCTAAAAATTTACTTGAGTCCTTTAACCTTCAAAACGCGAGTTGATTTATGAAAAGAACCAAAGTTGCTTAGCAACGAAGGTTATTGCGATTTGTTGCCGATTACAATTTTTCTGCAACAATGGCTTCCCCCTTTGTTGAAGCCGACAAAGAGTTTATTGAGTAACTACCCAGTGAGAAAAAAAAAAAAACACAAAAAGAAGTACAGACTACTGGACTAGCAGTTTTCAACATTGGGCAAAAACAAGAGGGGAAATTAAAATGAGCAACTTGAAAGCTACGAAGTGCCACAGCTGAACGAAGCGCTCGCCCAATTTTTTGCTGAGCTGAGGAAGGAAATGGTAAGGAGTACGAACCAGACTCGCTGAAGAGACAAGAGGTGGTGGTGGACCGCGAGTTAAACCTCGCCTGACAACTCCTAAAATGTTTGCGACTGGCAAGAAGAGATGTCCCGTTGCTTTTTTAAGAAGTACTTATATAAACGTGAAGACAACTGGGCCAGTGTACCTCGGTGTTATCGATAAGCCACAGACCACCGTGTAGTACAAAAAAATGCTCATGGATAAACACACTGTAAATAACATTATAAAAACAATGAAAGAAAATTCCCCTAAAAAGCTAACCAACCACAGAAATGCAAGAAAAACGGTTGTAAAAACGTTGAGGAGTTCTGGCACAGCTCCGCTAGCCACAGCTCCGAGCAAGGATTAGAACACTATGACTCCGGTGATGAAAGCGAGCAAAGAATTATGTCCAACATCATTGACAATGTCACAAATGCAAGACAAAAACTCCCAGCTCTCTCCTCAGTGCAGACAGGCCCCCGTCAAGTGTACAATTTCAGCCATTGCAATGTGACGCGCGACATCACTGATAGCCATTCTTCAAAATCAAGTTTCAGCCAGACCAAGCGAGGTTACAGGAGCATCTTTTGGCCAGATTCTAACTCTGATTAAGGTAATTCCTCTGAAATAAAAGTGACAATAGATTTTTGTTCAAACTTTGTCCACTAAATATTTGTCATATGATAACTTCAATTTTGAAATAAAAAAGGGGGGTGCCCATGCTCATTAAGGAGCAGT